CTTTCCTCCAGCTTCAAAAAGTTTATTCCCAACCATCTCAGCATCCACAAACAGCCTGTACCTATATCCATTTGATGATTAATTTTTCCTGAGAGTTTCATTCAAATTATGGTGTGTGTATAAACATTTGTCATACCTTTTTAGTGCTTTTACTTCAGCATAGTTTCCAATCATGGTTTTGTAGTCACCAAGGTCAAGAGTCAGGGTTAACTCATCTTTGTTATTTTCATCTCTCAAGAATATTTTTTCATGCAGATTTCCTTCTAAAAAAGACACAAATCTGCAACAAACCTGGATTATAATCAGTACATATGGACATGCTAGTATAAATACAACATAAAAACTCACCTAACCACAGGATTTGCAGAGGATGGTTTTTTCACTGCCTCTTCATCATAGACAGAGATTTTTGCAATAGCCATGGGATCAGCAGATAGGAGAAATTCTACTACCTATTTACATCATGCACAAACAAATTTTGATTTGAATATTTATTCCAAAGGAAGTCTTTATAATATTCTACCTTTCCTTCTTTACCCTTGGCCATTTTTATTTCTTCAACTATATGCTGATTTTCACACCATAGCTCCAGTATGTAGTTTGTTTTCAGATCAAGCCCTTCAAAGATTTGAAATTTTCTTGCTTTCACTACCTCAAGGGCTTTTCCCTCAGGAGGTGGAGTTACCCTGAATGAAGCATTTTTGACAGAAACAGAAACATCTGCATTCAATGGATTCAGTAGAAGAATGGAAAAGTGATTCCCTGCTGGTCCACTTGGGTCTTTAATCTGAAATATAGAAAAATAACATCAATACTGTCTTGATAATGTAAAAGCAAATTTGCTTTTGAAGGCTTTTCATGAAACCTGTACAATCCATGCAAGTATGGCAGCACAGAATCCAGATAAAACCAGGAATACCAGACCAACTACCATAAGTCTCAGTGGTTGCAGCCATTTCCAATTCCTTGCTCTGGAAATTTTGAATAAAAACAGCAGAAGAATCCCAAATACAATGCATAAGCAGTGGAAGACCATTGTGCAAAGCAATCCATCAATTGCATAATCTGCTTTCATTCTCCACAACAAATGATCTCTCCTTCCAAACTTGAACAAAA